TCTGCTAAAGATAAGACGGTTTGCTTGCTTTGTGACACTGCAATATCAACACTAAAGAAATTCAGCGCTCATCAGCATTATGACACTCACAAGGACCACGAATATTTTAAATCAGAAGGAGAGGCATGAAACGTTGTATTGCAGAAATTAAAAGATGAAAAGCAAAAGCAAAGACAATTCTTTCAAACACCAATAAGACCACCGAAGCAACTTATAAAGTAGCTTATATACTCAGGAAAAAAGGGAAGCCGTTCAGTGATGTAGACGTTGTGGAGGAATACACTGTCAAAGATGCAGGATGCTTAGACCCTGATAACATTTCAAAATACAAACAACTGCCTCTTTCAAGGAGCACCATAACCGATCAGCGCATGAATTAGCCTTCAACTTCACGGGACAACTTCATGCAGTACTTCAATAGGAAAATATATATTCTTCAATCGCTTTGGATGAATCGACTGATACTACTTCATTTGGGTCATAACAGAAGATTTTCTTTGCTAGAAAGAGTTACTTGCTTTGGTCACTCTTGCAAACAGAACATAGGGAATAGATAGATATCTTCAACCACTTTCAAGATCAATGTCATCAAGCTGGACTGAATTGGGTAAATTTAGTGAGTGTATGTACAGACGGTGCACATTCCTTGACAGGAAAACATGAAGCGTTTATTGCACAGATTAAAAAAAGTATTAAAAGATCCAGAAACTCTCATTTCTTTTCATTGTACCTTGCATCAGCAAAATCTTTGTCCTAAAGCTACTATTTTAAGTCACACTTTGCAAAAAATTATAAGTATAGTTAGCTATATTCATGCAAATGGAACATGGCATCATTAGTTTTGTAGCGTGCTAAAGTTGAACAATGAGGTATTTGATGTGGATTTGCTGTATCATTCTAAAGTGTGTTAGCTATCATGCAGGGACAGGTATTAGCTAAAATTTTATCTCTGTGAGAACAGACAAATTTTATGAAGAACAGAATCTGCAATGTGAATTATTAAAAGAAGATTTTTGTAGGAATGTAGCATTTCTGTGTGATATCATGTCAAATCAATATGACTTGAATATTTCTTTGCAAGGTAAAACTAATTCTACATATGATATGTAGCAAAAACCCCAAACGTTTTGGAAAAAGCTATCTTTTTTTCAAAACACTTCTTCTTCAGAAGGAAATTTCGGACACATTTTCCCTAGTTAGCAAAGGTCATTGATGAGCAGGATGATATATGCAAATCATTTGGAGAATATAAAGCGGTTATAGGCTTATTATTTCCAGAATGCAATGAAAGTTTTACTGACTTTGGGAATCATGACATCACATTCAAATTAGCGTTTCAGCCTCGCCTAGTTGATATCACCAAGGCACCTAAAGAACTACAGATGGAACTGATTGAGCTCTCAGTAGATGACATTTTAAAGTCATTGTTTGATGCTAAGAAAGATCCAGTGGAAATATGGAGAAATGCAGTAGAATACCCATGCCTTCAGCGACATGCCCGAAAAATGCTTTTTTGCTTTTCAACCACTTACTGCTGTGAATCTACATTCTCCTACCTAACCCAACTCAAGACGCCCTTAAGGTCCCAAATGACTGATCCCATCTAGAGGATCAACTGAAACTGCGGACCTCCATGTTGCAACCAAATATTCAAATGCTTTCCAACAAAAAGCAGCCACAACAAAGTCATCAAAAGGTTAGTTAACTTTAAAATTGACAAATAGTTTTCATTTTTTGAAGTAATAAGGTACATTTTTAAGTATATCTAATTGAAGTTTCTTAAATGCGGCCTTATTTGATTACAGCTAAATTAATGTAGCCTTCCAACATGAAAAGGTTCCTACCCCTGGTCTAGTCCAGTGACATCGGTCAACATTTCCCAAACTGTGCTGCTCCCTGGAGAACTAGTATAGCTGAGTCACTACTTCTCTTCTCTGCCTCGCCACTTTTTATGTTCCAACAGAGAGAACCTTGTCCAAGGGTATCATCTGAACCCAGAAACCAGTGTCCCAGGGCTTAACCCATCAGACCTTAGTGGTGGTGGCCTCCTTTCTGCCGGTGTAGACCACATCGCCCGACCGGGTGGTGGTGAGCCCCGATCCTGGCAGGTAGCTTCGCCGAGGGGGTGGGGGAGGGGGAGGGGGCGACTTTCCCCCCAGCTTGTCCACGTCCTGTTCTGAATTTGAAGAGTCTTCTGGAAAACAATATGCCATGCAAAAATAATCTCTTTCAAGATAATGTCCAGAAAGTCTAGCAGTATATTGCTATAAACTCATTGCAATCTGACTTAAAAATTCTCTATTCTCTCCATAGAGCAATGATTAAGGGTTATAGACCCTGAAGACTGAGTGGATTTAAATCCCAAAAAGATTCTACCCAAGTTATTTAATCTGTCTCTGTCTCAGTGTTCTCATCTGCTAAATGGGTATTATACTAATATCCTTTCCAAAAAAAAAAAATATATACATATCCTTTCCACTGGAGTGTTGTGAGGATTAAATGATTTATATACAGCACTTGGCTTATTGTAAATGCTATGCAAAGTATTAGCTATTATTATTAAACTGATTTCTTGTTATGCAGAAAAGCTGAATATTACTTGGAAAGATGAAAGATCAGAGCCTAAAGGCACATCCAGAGCCCCCTGCATGGCCCCCAAACCTCATCTCCCTAGTCTGAAAAAACAGCTTCAGCAAGAGGGATTGTGCAGACGGATGTTAGAGTGTAATGTGGCCAACAGAGGGCCAGGGAGAAAATAGGATGCAAATGGCAACAAAGAACAAAGCCAGAGAGGAAGTGGATGTTTTTTGGTCATGCTTATGTGGTTGGAAGAGATTCTTTGCTAACAAAAGGAGGCAGCAAATGTAAAAATAAGAGAATTATAAAGTAGAGTGAACACCAAAGTTAGGAGATGCAGATATCTGCTCACATTCCACCCGGGACACGGGGAAAGGCGTTCCTTACTCAAAGCTCAACAAAACAGCCACACTTCTGCCCTTTATCAGCACTGTGCCTGGGGCTAACAGAGCATCAGAACCAGCAATTCGAGATTGGGAGTTTTGTTCCAGCTCTCCCTAGGGACTGGCCTGGTCTCCTAGGAGGGTGTGTTTCTTTTCTGGGAAACCGAGACAGGTGTTTCAAGGAGAGTCTTGAGGATTTTGTGTTTAACATTGTAATAAAGACCTGGCTACACCCTCAGGGTAAAGAGCAAGTGACTCTCATGGCACGAGGGCGTTGGGTGACGGGCTGCAGCCATTCACGGGGCCTCGGGAAGGTCGCCCCGGCTCTGGGGGGCCCTCTAGGGACTGACTTGGGCTGACCTGCCTACGGGGTGATGGGTTCTCTTATCGGGTAGGTGATGACGGTCTCTTGCCTTGGCTTCAGTCAGGCTCCCCACTGTCTTCTTTTTGACCTGGTCACTGTGTGTAGGTTTAGCCAAGGATCTTGCTCCATCAGTTTAGGACGAATTCCTCCATTCTTAATGAGTGATCAAGTTCCTCGCCCCATCCGTGCTGTCTAAGCTCTAGGCCTGCCTTGAGCAAGAATCCGTCCCCTCCTTGATCTTGAGTTCAATCTCTGGCCTCTATTGCACGACTCTTGAATAAACTCTTCCTCGCTGTTTTTAACAATTGTCCCAGGAACTAATTTTTCTTTGACAACAACTGAGGCTGCAATCCCCCCAATTTTCCATTGATTTTTGATAGCTAACTATCTTTCCCCATCGTCTGAGCAGTCGGACAATTCACACAAGAGGAACTACAAATGGTTTTTAAAACTCCAAGCTTAAGAGTTTTGCGCCTTCTTAGTAAACAAAAATACATAAAAACAACATCCGTGACAAACAAATTAAAAGGGTAGAAACCAATGTCTGGATGATAATGGTAATGGAATGATACCCTTACACATTTCTGATGGCCTGTCCATTAGTGGACTCTTTCTGAGAAGAAATCACAGCATGCATTAAAAAATAAAAAACCCAGTAAGAACATTTTAACTGAGTAAAATTACACTTTGGGGTGTAATTTAAAAAATAATTTATGCAAATTTTTTTCAAATCTGAAAGAATAAAAAGCCAAAATGAGGCAAGTTAACAAAATGTCATGTATTTTTGTTGTACAATCATGAGAAAGAACAATTATAATAACTATATAAAACATTAAAAGACTGTATGACAAGTTTTGTAATGGGGGAACAGAATTAGGCAAGAGAGACATGTGATGAGGTAGGTCATTTTCTCCATCAGGAATTCTCCATGGGGACGGTGGGAAGAAAGCCATCCTTAGGAGGGAAGACCTGCCCTTCCCAGGCCTCTAACCTCTCTGGGCTGCTTCTTGCCTGGCGACCCAGGGGCCCCACAGAGGCCTAACACAGCTGGCAGATGGGGAAGGACATGAGAAAAGCCTCTTAGCACAGACTGAGGGGGAAGAGTTTCAGTGAGTGGAGCTTCGGGGAAGAGACAAGCCCAGTCAGTCCCCCATATCTGTGGTTTCCACATCTGTGGATTCCATCAACCACAGATGGAAAACATTCAGAGAAAGGAAATCCACACAGTTCCCAAAAGCAAAACCTGAACTTGCCTCCTGCCAAGTACCACGTTGAAGCCATGAGAAGGAAGATGGGAAGACATTGTGTTAGGTATTGTATTTATCTAGAGATGATTTAAAGTATAGGGAGGATGTGCATAGGTTATATGCAAATACCATGTCATTTTATATCAGGGAATTGAGCATCTTTGGATTTTGGTGTCCAAGAAAGGTGCTGGACGCAATCCCCCCACCATGGATACCAAGGAATGACGGTATAGTGTTTATAAATCGAATCCACTTTAATGTTCCTTGACATGCAAGCCAAGATGGTGACTCCTTTTCAAATTAATTCTAGTTGCTAAATGAGCATCGTTGAATGTGACACCGCAGAGACATCAGGCTGCGAGTAAAATGACATCTGTGTATATAATTTTAACATCAGAATAAGGCACGTGGCTTATAATTGGTGGGAGATATAGTAGGTTGAGTTTTTTAAATGTAACATTAGTATTGACATGTTGATGTTTAACTTTCATGGTCAAGTTGGTTAAATATACATTCTAATTTTGATGAAAAAAACAATAGTTTTGCCTGATGATCTAATATCCCCCGGGGGCTCATAAAAGCTGGTATTTTCTTTCTGCAAAGCACCCAGAAAGCTCTTGTTTTAAATGCAGGCCTGATACTCTCCCAGCTGGTGCTGTGAAGTGTCATAAATGCATAGGAAATGTGGAAGCTGGGAATTTAAATTCCCCCTTATTGGGCATTGTTCTAGTATTCCAACACAAGACACGGCTTCCCTACTGTGGCTAGATCTCCAGTAATGAAGATCTAAGAAATGCTTGAGCATTTGCTCTTCCAACCAACATTTTTAAAGATGCTGACGAAGCGAGACATCGGTGCTGCTGTCCAGCATGTGTTGCTGGGTGGCGCCATGCTGGCCCACGCTCAGGCAGCCACACGCCTGGGTAGCCATCTGCCACGGGACTGGACCTTACCTGAGAGTTCTGGCCTGTCCACCGGAGCCTCTCCCTTTGGCAGCGGGCCCGAAGTGGATGGCATCTCCAGGTTTGGAATTGACTTCATGATATTGGCCTGAGCTTCTTCTAGGAGCTTCTCAAACTCTTTCCCATTATAATGGTCCAGATTTTGTCTTTTTTCTTCCCATTTCCTTTCTGCTTTCTGAAGGAAAACGACAGGCGAAGAAAGCTTAAAAACTTGAGGGAAAAGCTGATGAACAGCGTAGAGATTTTACATCGGGGTGGGGAGGGGACGTGACGAAGTTGAAGTGTTGGTGAAATAAAGTCCTGGTTTCTGTGCACATCAGACGAACTTTGCCAAGTCCAGGCCATGACGCTTTTGCCATCTGCTATATCGTCTACAGCGACATGAGCCGCCATTTAAGCCCCCGTGATATTCATTCACAGAGAGGCTTAGAAACCCAAATTCATTCATTAAATGATTACTGAGCACCTACTATGTACTTCTACCAATTCGAAACAGAAAGAGACACTGATAACGCTTTCAAAGGTAGGC